GACCACCCATCTGATCCCCGTGTCACCGACACTTGCTTGACATTGCTTGAGTCAAAACTCAATACTCACTTAGCCACTGGAGCCCCATTATTGTTGTCTTGAGGAGTAGAGGCAGTTAGATGTGTGGGGTAGCTTGGGATGAAAACATCCCCTTAAATCAGTTGGTTTTCTACAGAAGAACAGATGATGTTCCACTGTCTCTGAGGGGTAGTCACATAGTGGGCAGGCAGCAGACTGCTTTACTCCAATTCGGTTGAGATGTTGATTGAAGGGTACATGTTGTGTTCTAAGTTGGAAGATTGTGGATTCATCTCGAATAAATAACGATTGTCTTTGTCTGTTATCCTCCTCCAGGCGTGTAACGAGTTCACCACCCACGTCGTGAACCTCCTGCGAGAACAGAGCCGCACCCGCCCCATACAGCCCAAAGAGATCGAGCGGATGGTGGGAATCATCCGGAAGAAGTTCTCTGCCATTGAGATGCAGCTCAAGCAGAGTACCTGCGAGGCTGTCATGATCCTGAGGTCAAGGTTTCTCGATGCCAGGTACACAAATCACCGTGAAGTTTTGTGTGAGCCAAGTCTTACTGCTCTGTGGTTTATTAAACACTGACATCAGAAGGTTCATATAGTAAAAACCCTTGCTATCAAAGGTGAAGGCATCTTTGGGAAAATTCAAAGAAACTGGGTGGTATACATACCCGATTGGTGAGATGTGACGGCAAAGTGTTAAAGAAGAATAAGAGACATCGACGTTTTCCACCACTTGCGATTGTATTGTTGGGGGGGGGGGGGACAAATTCTTTTTGAAACCCTTTCCCCCTTCAGCAATGCGAAAATAGCTGAAAGGCAGGCTACTTCTAATGTGCATGTCAGGGCCAACCCCCGCTGAGTGGGATCTATAGCGTTCTGGCAGACACATTTGATTATGTTGTGGAATAAAGTAACTTCCCCTCTTGGGAAGGGAGCTCGTGTTTTGTGTGAGCCGCGGTAATGTCCTGACCATAACACCACAGTTGTTGGTGATGTCAGTTCCTTGTCAGCTGTTCTCACGCGGATGGTGACCCATCTTGAGGGAGGGCACCTTTTTTTTTTTTTTTTTTTT